AACTTGTTAATTGTCAAAATTGAAAATGTTGAACTTGGCCTCTTCTTCATCTAATTACAACATATTTATTTATGTCAATAAATGCAGAAATGCTGTTGCCAGTAATTAATTCATGTATTTCACTCTTTGTCTCTGTCTTAATTTTTCGCTCCCTTTGTCCTCTCAGACTGAACCGCTTCAACAAGAAGTATGTGAAGAAGTGCCTGATTGCCGGCGAACGCTCCAAGGAGCCGCAGCTCATTGCCTTCTACCACAAGATGGAGATGAAACAGGCCATTCAGCTGGTGGAGAGTGGAGGGGGAATCAAGATGCCTTCTGCTGTGCCTTCCACTGTTTCCATGCAGTGAGTGCTAAACAGCATCGTGCTCAAAGTCATTTTTATCGTAATGTTTTTTGTTTGTTTGTTTTTTACAGTGTTGGGAACATTTAGGTGAACGCAATTCATCTACTCACTAAATTGTACAACAGTAGTGACATTAAGGCCTGATATGGTGGTGTAATACATAACCACAGAAAAAAGTTGACAGGCTTAAATTTCACTGATATCATAAACATGAGACACAAATGAACATATGACCATATATATGCTCATTCTTTGTGTGTGTGTTCGTACATAATTATACATTTTTTAAAGACATTTTTAGCCGTTTTTTTATTATCTTTTGGGTTTGTCCATAGCTTTGAAGTTGGGAAGACTGATGACAGGAAATGGCTCATGCTTAAATGGCCACTGATGCATTACAGATTCTTTGCTAATACTTTTGTATAAACAACACCTTCTCTCTTGTTTTTCTTCTACCAAGTAACAAGGAGTGTTTGGTAACTGTAAAGGTCTTCTTGGATAGTTGTATTATCCAAGAAGGATAAGCAATCAGTGTTAAATCACTAAAGGATCCTTGACTAGTCTTAATTTCTAGTGTAAGTGAGTCGATCTTCACCAATTGTGAAATGGTGTGTGCACAGTAGGAAACAGTAGTATGAACACAAAGGAAAATCCTTTGTGTTATGTTGTGCAGAAAGATAAGTAGCTGTGCTTCATCAAATGTGTCTAATCTTTAAGCATCATCGATGTGTTTATACACGTTTAAGTTGTGTAACTGTTGTGCTATACAAACACTGTTATTTATTTATTTTTTTCCCCCCCTGTGTCATTGTCAGGAACATCCAGCCCAGGCCTTCTACCAAGCCTGCACCAGAGCGAGCTATTCCACAGCTGTCTAAAAACAAAGAGGAGGAAATCCGGAAAATCCTCAGGACCAACCTTCAGAGGACACGGCAGAGGGTAACTTTGCTTACAAATGAATAGTTAGACTCTTTATTGATATCCTTGTTTCTCATCTGGATGAAAAATTGCCTTTGTCTCAATGGGAGTTAAGCATTCCATAATAAGTATTGATTGGTGCTCACAAGGGATCTCCCTCCCATTAGTTCATAACACATTTATTGATTTTTGAGATAGACTTGGAGTTAAAATAATTAGTTCTGCACATTTTTTTTTTTTTTTTGTTAAAGGACACAAAATTAATTTATTTAGTTTGGAAAATAATTTTATTAGTTCTGATCATAACCTGCCTAAATGTGCAGTGATGTTTGCAGGACTGCAATCTCTTTAACGTGTGTTCATGTGTCTGTCTTTCTCAGCTGCGCTCGTATAACAGACACACACTGGTGGCCGATCCTTACGAGGATGGACTCAGCGATTTATTCCTAAAGAAGCAAAAGATGTTTCAGATAGAGAAGAAGGTAAGTTTCAGTTTTTGAAGTCGAATTTTTTTGAACAAACATTTGCCAGAATAAATAAATCTGTATTGAAGAAAACAACCTATTGCGACTCAAAGTATATTTCATAGAACCAAAGGAGCAGTTTTTCTACCTTTTTTTTTTTTTTTTTGTACTGGGTAGCCAACAGTATAATGATTCAACTAAAAATATGATTTGTGTTTTAATTAGAGTCCACCCTCATTCTCTTAAATTAATTTTCCTGTCACAAATAGGAGCTGATTGATTCTCACAGTTGAGTGGCTCTGTGATTATTTTCATTTTAGCCAGCCTGTAATTAGATAATAAAAATAGACTTCTGTTTAGGCTAAATTGAATGTGCTAGAAGTTACTGTAGGCTCAAGATGATGTCTGCAGAGTTTAATGAAGCGACACATAATTTTAATAAAATTTCTGTATAACATTGATTAATGATGTCTCTATCTCTGAGCTGGTTCAGTTTGGTTGCTGTATTTTCCAACCAATTACATGAGACAGAAACTGGATTTCTTGCCATCTGAGTTTTGTAGATTACTGATTTTGAATGTTTAGATATAGAACTGTGCAAAAGTCTCAAGTCACCCACGTTTCTTTGTTTTGCGTACAAGGAGTCAGGCTTTATTCCCCCAAAAGTGATCTTGAACAATAGTTCTTCAGCCTTTGTAAAGGTCTTACAAAGTTTGTCTTTGAAGATTGTGTGCTTTTCCACCCATTTTGTTTTACCTCACTATTTTCAGAGCAGTGTTGTTGTTTGTTTTGTTTTGTTATTTGTGTGTTGTAAGCTGCTTAACACTGAGGGATGAATCATTCAGGCATAAAAAAAACACCTAACTCGAGGGATGAACCAGTGTTGTGTCTGCACATACCAGACAACTTAGCAAATAACCAGTTTTAAATTGTATTTTTATGCATTAAAGGCACTAGCAGCCTGTCACAAAAACGCATAATTTTTTCCTTTTTTATTTTGTTGAATCTGTGACAAATGGAAAATTTAATACAATTTGACAGACGGGGTGATTTCACAAAGGGATATTAGCCAGAAACTTGGCACAGCTCAGCCTGGTGTGCAGAGTGTCCTTAAAAATTAAGGAAACTGGACAAGTGGAGGACAGAAAAACTGCTTATAGCAGATAAGCAATATCTGAAAGTCATGTCCTTAATAAATAGGAAAGAATTCAACAAAGACCTGAGAAAGAACCTAAGAGATGCATCTGGCCCTTCAGTTAATCTATCTACTATTTGCTAAAGCTTCATCAGAAATGGTCTCAGAGGAAAGAGGGGTTGTCAAGAGCCAAAGGAAAGATAGTAGGGAGAAAAGGCTGAGGTAGGACAAATTACACGACTGGGCTGAACAGGTGTTCACTCCAGAACAGGTGTTCTGGAGTGATGAATTTATATTAGAAAATTTTTGGATCAAATCGTTGTCGGTATGTATGGAGTAGCAGTGAGTGTCGACAGCCATCTGTAAAGCACAATAGAGGCTTTGTCATGGTTTGGGGCCAAGTTTCAGGTGGTTGTGTTGGGCAAAAATGATGGAATTATGAATGAAAAGTACCATCAGATTTTGATCCAGCATGCAATATCATATACAAGGCCTCTGATTAGCAAGAGCTTCATTTTTAAGAATGACAATGATTCCAAACTCACTGCCATTGCAGTAAAAGCATTCCTGGAGAGAAAATTACACAGTGGCACACTGTCAATGATGGATTGGCTGTCCCACAGCCCAAATATTAATATTATTGAAGCAGTGTGGGATCACCTTTAACAGCCAAAAAATCCAGCCAACATGCAAAGAAGAGCTTTGAATGTCCTGCAAGAAACCTGGAGAACTGAAAACTTACTAAAGAAATTACAAGAAAGCTTTCTTAAGAGGCTTCAGTCAGTGCTAAAGAAGAAAGGTGGTCATAGCAAATATTCACTTTCAGGCTTGTTAGAATTGTACAAACTCTATTTTTGTCTTTATAAACTGTATTTTCATGCATGTTTCAATAAGTGTTGCACCCCTTTTCTATGGCCAGTTTTTGACACTTGTACAACACTGTATTATATGTTTTGCTTGATTACATGGAGAAGGCTAAACCATCCCACACCAACAATATCTGTTTTTTTTTTTTCCTAGTTAAAGGAGATGAATACCTACCTGACGGTCCCTGCCCCTCCCCCTGATTCCCCGACCATGTGCAGAGCCAGACTGGCCTCAGGTAAATGCATGTCTGAATCATTCTTAGCTCCAGCCAAATGAAAACAGCCAGTAGTCTCAACCATCTTACTTTCAGGTACCTCCTGAAATAATGTAAGAAAATGTCTTTAATGGGACACAGAAGATTCAGAGATTGTATTTCGTTAGGGTCACACGATACCATTTGCAGAGCAATAAAGACCATAGAAACACTATTACCGTTCCCAGCTGCAACAGATATTTCCCCACTAATGGAAATGTGTTTGCATGTGCCAGCCAGCATGTAAAACAATCTGTGGTTTTATTTTAGGCAAACATACTGATTTCAAACCTGATCAGGTGCAAAAAGGAAACAAAATGTGTTCAGGTATGTTGTGAGCGTAGAGAAGATTAATCGTAAGCCGTGCTATCACATGAGCAATTCTAACACGCATGTGTCAGTTACCCTGCTTGTAAGCACTCAGTAATCATTACTAATGATGTGACTCATTACTAAACTGATAAAAGCCACGTACAGGTGATTTATTGTAGCCAAACATATTGGAGTTGAGCATGTTACATGTGAGGAGTTTCAGTTTGTGTTCTTCACTTTAACTGAAAGTCGGCATGTGCTGCACCTTTAATTGATCATGACTAACTTTACCCTATTTTTTGTTACACTAGAAATAATGGGAACGGTCCTAAAGCCTGTTGTTGTGTAGTTTTGTGCAGTGATTCTGTTGCCCTTAATATTTGTTCATCTACTTGTACATCCACTGGTACTTGTTCGTGCATGCTGAAGGAATGATTGTGTGATATTATATCCCTTTTAAAGGCTGGTGAAATAAGTTGAAATCCCTCATATTCTACCTGTGTCCTGCTTATAGACCCGCAAGCCTACAGCATTAAGCCTGCATCGAACAAGGTGCCCATGATCCAGGTAGACCTGGCCTCTCCTCAGTCTCCAGACTCAGTTAATCTGTTGGATGAGTTCGGACAGGCTAACCAGCAGGAGGAGGAGGAGCAGGGCCTGATGATGAAGCCCCCGTCGAGGCCACGGGAAGCTAAAAAGCCGAGTGAAGAGGATGAAGCAAAAGATCAGCAGAGATTAATGAGGTGTCTGAGCGACCCTGGTCCCAGTGCAGACGAAGATGAGGATGGGGCCTTCCTCCCCTGAGACGACAGACTAGTTAGAGGGAAGAGGGCTGCTTCACCGCTCTGCTCTAAATTATCTCTTTGGTTCAGAAACCAATAAGCCAAAACTGCAAATGCTGTATGAACGGGAAACAAAAAGCAAAAGGAGAGTTCCTGAGAACGGCAGGGGGAAGAGTCATTAGTTTGTGATTCTCATTGCTCTTTATTTTATTAGGTAGCAGTGGTAGAGCGACAGCTGGAGATGGTGGAGGGTTTTGATGAAAGTCTGAGACATTCAGGAAAGAACTATGCATTACCAAAGGTTTGGACTGTTCCAGTTTCAGACTATCTTGTTTTTACTTTAGCATCAGACTGTTTTTTTTCGTCTTGATGATAGTGTTGTTAGTTTTATGTTTGGTCATGTTTTTACAGCTTCTGTCTTCAAAAACCACGTTCTCACTTGCTGGGTAAGCCACAAAAACGACTTCAACCTAGCTTTGACTTTTATTGCACTCGAGTTTCTTGCCGTCATTCTGTCACTTAAAGTTCCTGGGCATCCAATTGTTTAGATTGTAGCTTTTTAGAAATTTCTAGGCCTTATTTGATGTCAAACCTTTTCACTTGGTGCATTTTTAAAAATCGTATCTGTTTTTTATGACATACTTTAATTTCAGGGACGCAAACATCTGTTTGTGGGTTATGGGTTGAAAGCTGGATGTTTTTTAGTCGCTGTGTAAACCACAGTTGTTTTCCTGTCTGTTGAGCGACTTTATGGGGTCTACAACACCTACAAACCCGAAGAGTTTTACAAATTTCTTAGGCCGTAAAGCAGTACAGATGTTTTGATCTGCCAGTATACATATAAATTCTCCACCCAAGTTAAATCACATATTGTCATATCCTTTTATGTATGTTTTATTTTCAGTTAATAAGACCCTTTAAAACTCACTCAAGCATCAGTAGAGTTGTCAAAGTAGATGTTATTAATATACTGCCCATCAGCTTTCACACTCATATTTTAGACCCATATGTATTTTAAAGACCTTTAACCTTTTTTTTGTAACTGGCCTCATTGAGAAACATTATAATAGAGCTGGGCGATAGAACGATAACGATATGTATCGCGATATAACTTTTACTCGATAGAGAAATTAAGCTATCGCGATAGACCTCGCCGCTCTTGTCCTCAAAAAAAAAAAAAAAAAAAAAAAGGTCAGCCAATCCAAATTAAGTAGCGCAGAGCCGAACCAATCACAGCCGCAGCGTCACGTCGCGTGACTTGTTACGTACAGCACAAGTGCCAAGCCGCACGTGTGTTTGTTTGGGAAGCAGCCAGCGGGTAATGGAGGAAATGAGTGTGCCGACTAGAAAAATCAACCGAGCGTGACCGAAGAGAAAACAGATGATGGTTCCAACGCCGGAGAGATTGTCGAACGGAAGAGCCATAGAAGTTCCGTAGTGTGAAGGTATTTCGGCTATTTCAAGTCTGACAAAAAACAGAGTAGCGTGCACTGTAAATTGTGCCGAAAGCAAGTCTGGAAATACAATAAACTGGTGCATGCGTCACACTGTGCGCCACGTTATTGTTTCGGTGAAATGAATTTCTACAATACTGTTACTGTTAATTCTACTCTCTGCAGTGTTTAAATGCTTACATATACACACAGTTACTGTCCCTCCACACATACGACTCGGTTCTGCTTCTATGCCGCAGCTTTGTTTACTTTTTCCCACCGAGGCTTCTAGACTTCTGATTGGCCAACATTTCTGCACGGTTAGGAATCTAGCGCCACCTGCTGCTTTGGCATGTTCATAGCAGCGTTTTCCTTCATTTCTGCCTTTATGTGTGGACGGGATTATTTTTTAAAACGAAAACGGAAAATCTCCGTTTTCAAAAATACCCGTGTACGTGTGGACGTAGCCTCAGTCTCTGACTGGAAGCGCTAATTCGTCATTCGGCTTTTGTCAGACTAAAGTAACTGTTAAAACTGTTTGAAAAGCTCAGCTATACAACAAGGAGAGATTGAGAATTTCCTTTTAGTTCTCAGTTTATTTGATATTGACAAAAGTTAGTCAGTTTTGTCTGTTCTTCTGTAAAACAAACTAAGATTTATTTTTAGAATTAATATTTTGTTTCTAAGTGGAATTGACAATTTAGTCTGTTTCGTTTGTTCTATTTTGAAACTTAAACGCTTTAGCGGCTGCCTTTTGTGTAGTTTGCAATATTTGCCTTTATTTATCTGAAAAAGTCTCATGTTCCTTAAGTACATCTACCCTGTTGAACTTATTATGGGAAATAAATATTTAAATAAAAACAAGCTGCTGATTATTTCACATTTTACTTGTGAGCAACGGCACATTTAAATCTTACAAATATAGTTATTTGGCTTATATCGTGATAGATATCGTTATCGCCTGAAATGAAAAAAACATATCGTGATATGAAAAAATCTCATATCGCCCAGCTCTAGGGTATAACAAGAGTTGAGAATTGAGGGTTAATTTGTGCAGAAATCAGTCCATGCCTCCTAACCTTCTTTAAAAAGCTAAGACTGCAGGCATGTCATGGCAAAAAAAAATCTAACTCTGTGCAGCTCTGTAACAAATTCAGACTAAACAAAAAAGCTATATTAATGAATACCATTCATAAATTATGGCTTATACACATCATTGCTGAAGGCAAAGTTAAATCTACCCCTGGCATTAAGACAGTCTTTACACTTAACTAGAGTTTTTTGCATATCTAAGCAAGACTGAAACATTACTTGCAGGCATGAAAACTGAGTCTAGTGTTTCTTTGATATTCTTTATGGTTGAGCAGTGTGTTTGTAAAATACATCCACATCTTTTTACAGAGCTACTCAGTGATTTGGAATATATAACATTCGTTATTTAAGTTACTGATGCGATAAATTGCTGATTCCTGCTTGTCTGGTTAAATTCAATAAAAGGACAGTGGCCGATGCCACAGAGTTATTAGACGCGGGTGAAAGAACAACTCATGGGTTTAAAATCATATCGCTTGAATCGAGTGATGAATTTGGTTGTTTTCTTGGTGTAATTAACAACGGAACCCTTTTCAAGGTTCTTAAACCACAAACCTCACGTTACACCCGAGGAAAGAATAGAAGCGCCTGACTGTCCTTAGCTCCTCCTCCCATCATCTGCAAATTTCTAGACGTGGTTACTGTAGCAGGGGATCACATGCACTCAACTGAATGCGTGTGAAAGGGAGTAAATCTCAGCATAGCTACACCATTGCAGTTGATGCAGTTTGGTTGTCTAAAATCAGTTACAGCTCACAGACCTTTAAACATCTCATTTCCCTGTTTCCTGACTAAATTGAATTTCCCTTTGCTCTGAAATGTCAGCATGTCTGTTAGACTATCAGGAGATATGTGGTGAAAATGTCAACAAGGATGTGGTCAAAGACCAAAGAATTGTACCAGAACCTGACTTGCAGAACAACCCTCCAACCTCCTCTTTTTAAAGTTCCCTTAAAGGCTGCAATATTTACACGCAGCTTTTATGGCCGTCTAAATTGGCGTTGAACTGAAATTGCTGAAATCCTGAGAGCCGTTTCTCTACATCTCTTTATCATCGTCCCAGGTGATCTAAGTTTTAGCAACTTAAAGGCACTTTGCTCTTAACCCTTTAATGCTTTGCAGAATCTGACTATTAGATTTTAGGAAAGTTGCAGCAAGTAATACATTTCTAAAAGGACTCCTACTTATTAGTATGTTTAACTGTTTAGATGCAAAGCAGGTCCCAGTGTTCAAATTCTGTCCAATTACAACACGCTCACAATACCTGTGCATGTGATCACACAGAGGGAAGCCAAAGGAGGCACATTTAGATTAAAGCAGTTCCTATAACAAGACGCCACATTGTTAATTTTTATATTGTATTGTTATGTTATTCCAAAGAGTTGAATTTCTCCAAAAAAGGAAAAAAAGAAAAAAGAGAGAAACCTTTATTTTTCATACCAAATGCGTATTTTGGGCAAACGTTATCACACTCCATGGAGGGTAATGTTTGGTGCAGAAAACTTTAAACAGAAGCCATACAGCCTATAGAAGAACCTATTTTATTGTAACCATATATATTACAAAACGTCATGTAATGATCACTCTTGCCTTTGTTTTGCTTGTTGCACGAACAAAAAAACAAAAGCCTTTTAAAGTTAAACTGCCTGTTTTCTTCATACATTCTTCACATTTTTGCTTCTTGCTCACTGAATGTTTTTCTACACTGATAAATCGATCATCAAGCGGTGCGAGAGCAGAGCCGGATGTTTGGGATCGGTGCCATTTGTTCTTGTCAGCAAGTTTATGCAGAAACTACCAAGCGAAGCTTAATCACACTTCATGCAAAGAGTTGGAGTGTGTGCAAAATAGAAGTGATTGTAAAAGTTTGGTGAGGATCGGGATCGTTGTTGGGTAATCCATCTTTGTTCTTTGCAGAAGATGTGCTGTCCGAGTGTCCTTCTAGATTTAAGTTGTGATGTTGAATTTACAGAATCAACGGCGTTGGCTCGCCGGTGTTGATTTCATCTTTTTGTTTTCTTGTCATATTTCTGTGTTCGTTGAAACACACCATGTGCTTTATTTGTTCTTTCATTTCTTTTAAAGCGTTGTTTTTATGAGCTTATTCCAGTGTGCAAGTTTTTATTGTAAGTATTGTATCTGATGTTGTGCACTGCGTCATTTCATGTGCTTTTCAGAAGGCTGTACTGTGCGTTTTCTCCATCTTATGTTTACGTTTACCAGGAGTTTGGAAGCATTTGTCATCTGTGCTTTGAAAGGTGGAGTTCAAGCTTTACAGAGTAGAAATGGACTGACTTGCTTCAAAGTATAAGTAAAGCTTTATTACTCACTTGGTGTTCCAACCAACAATCAACCAAATTAACCTAAAGTAGCTTTTGCATGCTTTTTTTTTCCCCTGAATAGTTTTGTGTTTTCCTTGATCTCCAGGCAGCTATCGTTTTCTGTTCATTGACTACAATATCTCAAATCTCTGTGAAATCTTCAGCTCAGTCACTCCAAAGGTCAAGTCAGCATCTGCATCTGATAGATTTTTGAAATGCACTAATATAGTGGAGATTCCTCCCATTCAACATATCTGTTGGGTCTTATGTTAGTATTGATGGATATTAATGAAGATTTGACAAGAAAGGGCAGCACAATAAATGTAAGCACTAATTTGGTTATGACTACATGGGCTAAGACATGCTAAAACACTGGCCGTCGAAGTACTCCTAACATTTCACCAGCTGGGCAGTATGAGGCTAATGATTACTAAAGGCAGTAATCTGAGAATGACACACATGTTCCTATCAGCACTGTAATGACATCCAGTGGCATTACATCGCCATCCAAAGACTGTTTCCATCTTCATTCGTGTTTACTAGGCTCTGTTGTGTGTCACTATTTAATGCTGAGCACTTTAGTCAAGCGGTACCTTTATCTTTTAACACAAACGTTACAGACGGAGCAATAATGATAGTGATGGATTGTACACGCTGTGTGCGATTGTCAGCCGAAACGTCACAGGATAAAGGAATGTACTTCTTGAAGGGCCTTATTATCAGGCATGGGTTTGATGTTCTTAGTCGTAAAGCAGAGAAGCTGGAAACGGTGGATTACAGTTCCCTTTTAATTCATTTGTTTGTTTTGTGTGAGTCATTTGTTTGTTTTCAAATGGAATTTTTGAGTTGATTAAAGGTTATTTTTAATTTTATATACATATGAATGATAATATAGAAAAATATAGAATAGCAGATTTTATTATATGATGTACAAATCTGAATCTTAAGGATGTCATGTGTGCACTTTCTTGTTGAATAATCTATAGCTTTCAGCATTCCATTGTAATGACCTGTAAAACTAACAACTGGTAATAAAACCACATCTGAAAGTATATCTGAGATTAAAGGTTTACTTTATGACACACCTGAGTCTGACTCATCATTTAAAGAGTTGTTTTGTTTCCTGAACTGTTGGTACAAGGTAGGTTGGATCCCTGCATCGTGTCATTTATGCCACATTCTGACCCTACCGTCCCAATGTCACTGAACACACTGAGACTTGTTAGATCAGGCAACGTTTTTCTGATGAACCCATGTGAATCATTGCTTCAGTTTCCTGTTGTTACCTAACATGCTTTTCTGCACACCTTTGTTGCCAC